GATTAATGGGTCATGGAAGAGCTGACTCAGATCTGCCTCTGTTCTCTGCTTTCCCCAACTCTTTGCAAAGAGACAACTCTCCCATCAGTGACAAAACCTGCGCCACCTCCTAGATGCATCGGTTGTTCCTGCAACCATTCTTGTCCTTCCACCCCAGCCAGAGCAGAAAAGCAGCAGTCAGCAGCATCAGCCTCCAGCTCTTCCTGTGGGGAACGGCTCCCCACACATCGCACAGAGAGGAGGCTCACAATTAGCTCTTCTCCAAGGAGCGCAGCACTCCATTCCCAAGGCTGGAGCAACACTGATGGCTGTTCCAATTTTTTCAGACTGTAACAGGTAACCGGGGGCAGTTTAACAAAAGCTGGTTGTCAAATCCTTGTCCCTTGCAAACTCCCAAGGATGGAGATGCCCCCATTTCTCTGATCACTTGTTCCAGTACTGTACTACCTTCCCAGTGAAGAAGTACTCTTCCAGTTTCCGAATGTCCCAAACTGAACCCTCTAAGCTGTAATTTGTGGTTACTGCCCTTTGATATACCATCTCCTACTACCAAGACAAAGAAATTGGCTTTGTCATCTTTACAACAGCCCTTGAAGTAGTTGTAGGCTACAATTAGGTCCTTCCTTAGTCTCCTCCGTGCCAGACTATACACGCCCGGCTCCACCAACTTCTCCTTGTAGGCCATATGCGCCATGCCACTGGCTGCCTCAGTAGGTTTCTGCTGGACCGACTCCGGATTCCTCCATCTTCTTCTTGCACTGGGGAGGACCCAGAACTGGACACACGATTCCAGGCGCAGCCTCACCAGTGCCAAGTAGAGATGGATAATAACTTCCCTCCATCTGCTAGCCCTACTCCTCCCAATATAGCTCCCAACATAGTATGCAATTTTCCTTACTCACAAGGAGAGCACACAACACATGGACTTATATTGAATTTGGGACCTGCCATAACCCCCAGAGCCTGTTGAGCAGGGCTGCGACTCATTTCGTCTCCTCCCAACCCGTGCAGAGATATGCAGTGGCTCCAGCCTGGTGCCAAGCTCTGAACCTTGCTGTGTTGAACTCTGTGAGGTTTCTTCTAGCCCCATCCTCTCATCTGTTGAGGTCCCTCGGGTTTGAAGCATTTGGAATGTCAACCACTCCCTGTAACTTAGTATCACCCTGTGCAAGAATTTAAAAATGACAAAACACAAGTGATATTTTAATTCCTTTGGTCACAAAGGAACTTTAATGCTGTTACTCAGCTTCTGGCTGCATTTTTCCCAGTTATTGGTTGCTCCCATTTGGTCCACAGTCTCACTGAGCTGCAGTCCTGTCATCAGCCTCTTCTTGGCTGTCAGCAGCACCAGGAAACAGATCCTGTGACTACGAGGTTTACTGTCAGTCTCATATGCTCCCTACGCCCAGCACACAGGCTGGGGGACTGGCCCCTAGAGCTCCCCGGTGCCTTTGCATCAAAGGCAGAGGATACCAGTATGTCTAGTTCCCTTTTTCAGGTAACTACTTCTCCAACTTAACTATTTGTAGATTGATAAACTAGTCTGTGCATCAAAAGCTGGATGCTGCTGAAGTTATTCCCACTCTTTCTTTCCTTACTCCAGAAAATAAGAATCCTATTTAGCAAGGAAATACTACTGCATATATTGTACAGCAGTATATACTAGACAAAGTGGTGCGGTGCTGTATCAGCTGCAAATAAGCTATGGACCTAAGCCAAAGGCTAAGTTAGCATTTGACTAAATTAAGGCTTGGATATTTGGCTCTGAAATCAGAAGTGTCCTTAAGCACGTGAGTGGTCCCACTGAAAGGGGTAGGACTGCCTATGGACTTAACATTAAAACATGGTTGAATAAAATTGCACCTGGATCTGTTTTGCCGTTGGTAGCTCCTAAATCAGACTTGTTGCTGAAAGTTTCCCAATGCTGCCACCTACGGAACAGGTTAACTACAGCTTTCAACATCATGGAGAAGAAAACCCTATTAACAAAATGATAGATTATGCACAGTCAACCCTGGATACCATTCTAAATTAGCAATATGCAGATCTAAACAGATAAGCCCGAAATCCTACCTGAGATTCTTAAATATTTCTCACATATTTCCAGGGATAGTTCTGTATATTAACTGTTAAAAGTCCACCTCTGGAAGGCGGCACAAAAATGGCAGGAACCTGTTAATTCAAGTGAGATAATTTGCTCAATAGAGTCCTCACATATCTGGAAGAGCAGCAGTGGCAACAGCCAGTCACAGGTTTCTCTCCGAGCACAAAACACAAAACAGGCTTCACAAGCTCCTGCCCGTCTCAGTCATTATCACAGTGAAAATTCAGAAGTAAATTCAGGGAAAACATGTAGGGTTTTAGATCAGAAATGGAGAGGGTCAGAAGAGCTAATTACTTAAATTAAGGAGGATGCACAGGAAATCAAGGAAAGGTAACAGTTTGTAAAGAACTACAGACTTAAGATAAAAATACAAAGAGGAGAAAACAAGCAGAGACAAGAAACCAAATGCGCCTCACTTCAGATAGGATGTAACCAACAGAAAATAGTAAATTATGAGAGCATCTTCTCATGAAAACAAGGTGTTTTGATTCATAGCACTCTAAAAAAAGCCTACAGACATTTACATCTCTTGGTCCAAACACTTTCCCACTTATAGTGGGAAACAATGGGCAAAGATTAAAATTCAAAAAATTGCAAGTAGGCAAAACTAGCTGGAAAATACACATCAAAAGCATTTATTTTGAGATTCTACACATCTGATGTGACTTTAAAACATCCTCTATCTTGTCTATTTATAGCTTATTCTGTATGGTTTAGACTTGGGACATACACACTTCTGTGTATTGTGACTTTTCTTCTGAACACAGTAACAGATCTGGAACAGCTGCACTGTTAGTATGGCAAAAGCTTCCATCTATTCAACTTACAGACCCTCACCCATTTTTTGAGACCACCTTCATCTGAGGCAAGTCTATCCCAACTCCCAAGATCTTTGCCATCCCCAGCAATTCATCTTCCTCTTATTACGCAGGCTGTTTTGAGTGTAGCCCAGCTGTTTGCCAGGCCCCTGGGGTAATTTTAGTGGGGGGAAAACAGCCTCACTAGCCATGTTACATGTGAGTGGATAGATAACACCTATTCCTTAGTTGTTCTCTTTATTTCCATTCTTCGAAGCTGTACAGGGAACCAGAAAGTGAGAAAATAATAGAGGTCTACCTTTTCCCTGTTTTTCCACAAGGCCAAAATTACTCCAATGTTGCCTTTCAGTAGATTCTTAACCCAGCAGCTTGAACAAAAGAGTGGAAAAAAGTTTATGAAACACTAAAATAACTTCAGGAGCACTAGACATTAATATTCCTAGATTAAAAAAAGAAAAAAAAATGAAACCAGAAGCATTTGACTGCTGTAATCACTATAAAAAAATACAGTGGTATCACAACAGTACTTTCAGGTTGCTTCAGCATTGACTGACTGCACAGGCACAGCTAGGGCAGGTACCCTTGGCAATGGCCTTAAAGGCATAAGGGTCCCCTGCAGAATTAGAGCATGCTCCCCCAGGTATGGCACACAGCTGATTGGGCTCTGCTCTCTCTCCTGCCCCCTCTTCCTACCCTATCTGACTGTTTTTGCTCCTTCCATCCTCCTGTGCTCAAGCCACATGCGTTTTCTCTCCTGCAGGCTTCGTTGCTAAGCAGCCTGAGCCCCAGGCATGGCTCCAAGCCTGCGCTGGAGCAGAAGGCTGCAGCAGAGACGCCCCAGGAGGCCCCCCTCCACCTTGCAATGACTTCAACCAGCAGGCAGAGTAAGATGCTGCTATAGAGAACAGCAGCATGTAACAGACCTTTTCTCAGCAGGTAGCTTTCACCTCCCTACTAACAGAAAGCAAGAGAGACTGATTTTCAGAATTGAAATACTCTGAACTTTAGCTAATCCTCAGAATTTGAATTAAAATGTGTTGCAACCCCCTGCTAGCTTCAGCTATCAGGTAATTATATAAGCAGTAACAATACCAAACACCTTCAGACCATGCATGGCTTTAATCAAAGCTTGTGTTTTGAATTACTCTTCAAAAAAGCCTGGAAGCCAGGAACAGTTTGCAGCATACACAGAACACCTGCTACCACCTAAAAACATTACACAGCACCATACAATGCAGCTGACAGGCACAGGCTGGGACATAATGCATTAGAAGAAAGGCCCCAGTTGAAGGGTGTTTTACCCCTTCTTACAGCTACCTAAGGTACCAGCAAGGAGCTGCAGATCAACAGCAGCTAGACTCAGGTAAAAATAGTTTCCACAGAAGGTCACAGTTGAGGCCAAGGAATATGTAATGTATATTAAGTATCTTCCTTCCCCTTGAACCCAAAATGTCACCCTGCTATTAAAAAATGCATGGAGTGTAGGTTTACTCTTTTTAGGTAATTTTGGAAAGGACAGATAGTCTAGCCTCTTTCAAGGCCTTCCTAACACAATCACAAGTTAATAAGCACATACTGGCTAGCCAAGGATTGTGTTCAGCATTAGCTGGCAGATTTCTTTTAACCATAGGTAGGGAAAAAACTCCCTCTAATACTGTCTCCTACAAGGAAACACCACCAACCAGTTGGGTGGATATTCTGTTGCTTGTAGCATTAATACAAATGGCCTCCAGAAGCAGACAGCTTCAAGGTGACATTTGAGTATTTATCAATCACACATTACCCCTCTAAAATAAGTGTCCCCAGGGTAGCAAATTACAGCTTAAGAGTCACAGACTGGACATTAGGAAAAGGTTTACCAGAAGGGTAGTGTAGCACTGGAACATTTTATGCAGACAGTGGTACACCTCTCCATCCTCAGGCCTTCAGGACACTAGAAAAAGCAATCATCCTGCTAACCTGATGCTGACATTAGCTTTTTGCTCAGAGTAGAGCTTTGAGGGTTCTTTGAAAGCAAGGTTTATATAGGATGCCACACTTAACTCCTTTTGATGAAAGTTAGTGATCACTTTAGTCCATTCAGTCTTCCAACAGAATATTTTATTCTCATTAAGGACAAGGAAATATCAATCAACAGCTCAAATAACATGACACAGATTAAACAAGCCCTGTTAAGCATTTTCTACTTAACATGTGAAAAAAGAGTCTAAAGACATCTGATGTGTCCAAACTGTTCACATTAAAACTTGAGCTCATCCTTAGCATAAGCTCTGCTGATGTTGCTCCTGTGTATAGCAAAAGGTGGAAACAATTTAAGTTACCAGAACAGCTGTGTTTAACAAGTACTGAAGCACTGGAGTTTAGACTGCATTTACTGGTGTGCTATTAGACTGCTTTCCTTGCATCTCTTCAGAGTCTCAGGCAGATTTGCAGAAAGCCACAGCAGAAAAACGAACTTCTCCTTTTTCACGTTCTGTAAATTGTCTGCAGATCTTAGCAGAATCCTCGGAATAAAAAAAAGCTGTTTAGACTATCAGCATACACTTGCTGTAGGGACCAAGTCTTTGTAGGTCCTCTCTGGATCCTACCAACTAAGTTACAAGTTTATTTATTAGCTGGTGCTACAAGACATTAACAGTTCTCCAGCTCTGTGGCACACCGCTACCTTGTCACCATTGTATAAGCAGCACCAACTTGTATGGCAAGTAGGTACAGCCACTCTACGCTGAATGCATGCCTCTAACCCTTTTATGAGCCTTGTTTGCAGGGAAAGAAGCATCAAGGGAGAAAAGTCTTACCTTCAATAGCAGGTCATCCGAGGTTGTGCCATGGTTCACAGGAAATGGCATACGCCCATCTGTGAAAAAAAGTCCTGTCACTCAGTGTACTTGTACTTCTGAATTCACAGAACTGAGCATAGTGGACCCAAAAAACAAGTACACACATGAAGATACTTGAGGTCACAGTAAATTGTCATTACATAGCTTAAGTGGGAAGTAGATTCAGTACTCCCAGCTCTACAGGAGATAACATACTTTACAGAGGGCCTACACCTTCAGTGCAACCCATCTCAGTTAAAATCTTCAAGTGAAGATACAGATTACGTATTGGCTTTGAGAGCCTCAGTGAGCAGCTTAACTAGCACCAAGTGTTGAGCCTGAGGCCCCAACACTGCTGTACAGTGTAAAGTTGGCCCAGCCCAACTCCAGCGTTCTCAGGACCTTACCCAATTCATACAGATGCCCATCCACATTGACAAACAGGATGAAGTGGAAGTTCACGCTGTTGTCCTCAACCTTAGGAGAGACCATTAGATACATTTGTTAGATTGAAACAAGCCCAGTGCTGTGAACCCTACTTGTGATTACAGGACAGAGTAGATGTCAACAAAGCAACAGCAAAGGACTGAACATGGAAGTTCGGCTTAAGAGGTCTCTGTAAGACCTCTACAAGGTCAGTGCCAGAAATCCTAATGTATGGTCACATTTTCAAATTAGGTCTGAACACAAGTTTTCAAACTATGTTTGAGGAAGAAACCCTGCACAAGTACTCACCCACGAGTCACTCATTTCTCTTTCCTCATGAGCTGTAAGCTATCTGCCAAAACCTGTATTGCCCTACCACCTTCATTAACTCCTTTTCTCCAAAGTGTTTTTTTTTTTTTTTTACACATTTGTACCTTACCCGACATTGTCCTTCTTGTGCAACCGAATTGTGAACTTCTTGTATAGCCTTAAGAGAAAACAGAAACAGGTTACTACATCCTTAAGCACTGATAGCTGTCAGCAGTTTTTGTAGTTCATATACCTTATTATTTGCAAAATGCTTAGCTCTCTCTTCAGGAGACAGATCAGCTGTTTCATCAAGAAACTTCTTCAGGGCGGACCCCTCATCTGCACAAGAGGATCAAAGATTTTTATTCAGTGTAGGCAGAGCATCAGTTACAGTTGCAGCCCACAAATCAATGCTTGTTGCACTAACTAGGAGTCATTGCATTCAGCCTGGAACCATCTGCAGCATAAGCATATTTTAACTAACACTTGAAGTGAGCTATTTATCCAGAAGCTGTTAACAATCTACAAACAGCCAGAGTTCAAGTGCTTCAGAGTACTCTGGATGCTTGTCCTTGAACTTACTTTTAAATGGGATTAGCTTTTCCTATTTCCCCCTTGCAGATTTGGTAGAGGTGTTCAGTCCTGTTTTGAAGAAATTCAAGAAAGGTGCCAGCTGTAAGGACACTTAAATATCAACTAACAGAATATGGGTAGATAAATTAAGTTGTCTCACTGCCTTCAAAAGACAACAGCACTTGATCATGCTAGACTCAACTTTGTTTTTTCCAGAACATAAATTACTGGTGCAGTACTAAGATGCACTGAGTTCTAATCTTCAGTGAAAGACGTGCTGTATCATTCATTTCACTCATCAAGAGCATGTTATTTCATAAAATGCTTTCTAGTAAAGCAAAGCTACTCTCATTTAGCCTTCCATATGTGTTCTCCTTTGTGTAAGAAGGAAGCCCACACCACCCAAAGGGTTCCAGTTTTCTTGGAATGACAGTTATATGTTGCAGACCTCTAGGCTTTGAATAAAGTATTTTCCAGACTCCATGACAATCTTTTCTGACAAGAACTTGTCATCCTGTTTCCTAGGAGTTTCCAGCCACCAGTTGCCTATGCCAGTTTTATATGCTTTTCTATAGGAAGAGAACCATCCTCTGCATGAAAAGTCTACTTATAGACCCTTATCATCCTATACTACTTTCCCAGCAAAAAGAAAACATGTTTTAAACTGATTTACAGGCTACCCTGAGCAAGTCTGTTTACAGTAGACGTAAGTGGCATGAAGAACTTAAGAGATAAAGTTGACATCCACACCAATGATACTTCCTAATCACAAACAGACTTTTGCCAGTCCTACTATATGACCTTTTCTTCTTGCATTGCTTGGTAGGACAATATGTCTGCAGCTACCAGGCAGGAGTCACAATCCATTCCCTCTGGAATTCAGACAGTAGGTGAGACCACATGCCCCTCTCCAAGAGCTGAACAACCCAATTACCAAGTGAAGCAGTACAGTATGCCTTAACTTGGCTCACATGAAAGCCCCAGGGTGTCTCCTATAGCCCATACCCACTCAATCTTAATCTCTGTCATAAAAAAGTAGAAATTCAAGCACTTCAGAACATTCATACTCACCAAGCTTCAGTTTGTCTTTATTATTAGCAACTGCATGTATCAGACCAATTGTGCCACAGGAGTTACTGACTGTCTGCTTCAGGAAATACACCTTGGAACTGATTTCTTGATCCTTTATTTTCTCAGTCTGTTGTTTCCTGAAGTTCTCGTGCTATAAACACATAATGGTTTTAAGCATTTCACCACAGTGGTACCTTTTTATTGTGCAAACTACTAGACAAATGAGTTGTGCAGCAGAATCAATACCAGGACTGGGCAAAGATTTACCCAGAAAGTCATCTTTGTGGCAGAGGTCCAGAAAAACATTGCATGTCTATACTGGATGCAGGCCAAGTCTTAATGGACTACCTGCATGACTCAGTCATATCCAAAGGCACTGTTCTTAGCATCTCCATCTGTTCTGTACGCTGGAAATAGCTTTGGGTGGGAAATCATATAATGGATAGGCTCTTTTATAGCCTCTCAATTGTTTCGGTCCATTTAATGAGACTACTCAGCATGTCTCTGCAATACTTTGCCTTTGCACCTTCAGGGTACTTCCCTTCATGAATCCCTCCCCAACAGAACAATGTACAGACAAGTGTAAAACCCATCACTGCTTAAAGGCAAGAACCTGTTAAATATACTTTATTTCAAAGGCTATCTCCTCATCTACTTCCTTAGTATCAATTGAATTAAATGTATTAATCGTACAGAAGTAATTTAGGCCTCTCCAAACACCATGATTCAGCATGGTAACAGAATTGCTATGCCTCACAATGAAGATCACTCATGGTTTTTTCCCCCCTCAGTCTGATACACAAAGCAAAGCTTAAGATGAGTATTGAAATAAGAAGCTTTGTTTTGTTGCTCAGTTCATTTTAGTTCAGGCTATTTGGAGGCTGAGGCCAAGCATCCAGCACATACTACTCATCACCCTACCAGCCACCTACAGCCCCAGTGCAAGCTAAACCCACTCCCAACCATCTGATGCTTGGAGAGATGACACAGGTACACTCCTGACAGCAGCCAGCCCTACCCACCCCGTGACGCCGCCAAGCCTTCCCCACTGTTAGCCAGCAGGTAGAGACACTGCTGCTGACAACAGCCTGTTTTTTTCCTCCGGGGTATTTGGGCCAAAGGCAGCCTATTTGGCCTACCCAGGGTGACAGCAGAAAACCCATACGGCACCAGCTGTCATACAGCACTGGGCCAGCCACAGGCTCAGTACCTGAACCCAGCCCATCCAGCTGCTGCCTCCAGGGCTGCAGCCCAGAGGACCTGGGAGAGGAGGTGAAGGAGAACGGTCCAGGAAGAACAGCCACCCCCCCAGGGAGCACCTCCACCCACCGCCTACCTGCTCGGTGAGGGGGAACAGCAACAGCAGTGCACAGGCAGGGGCCGGCACAGCGCCCAGCGCCTCTTCCTCGAAGCCCAACACGTCCACGAAGCGCCAGCCGGGACCCACCCCCAGGCGGGACAGCACCTGCACAGGACACAGCGATAGGGTGACACGGCCGCGAC